GAACTTGGAATTAGGTTCTCCAGGTTTGCTGAGCTCAGCTGACCCCCGAGCGGCAGCATCTTGTGAGACCCTGAGCCAGAACCACCCAGCTAAGCCAGTCCTTGATTCCTGATTTTCAGAAACTATGGGAAATAATAAAAGTTATTTCCTTAAAGTGCTGAATTTTGGAGTAATTTGTTATGCAGTAAGAAATAACTAACAGCCTGGCTGGGGTGGCTCAGTGGTTGAGTGTCGACCCATGCACCAAGAGGTGGTCGGTTCAATTCCCGGTCAGGGCACATGCCCAGGTTGTGGGCCCAATCCCCAGTGGGCGGCATGCAGGAGGTGGCCAACTGATATTCTCTCTCATTGATGTTTCTAAATCTCTTTCCCCATCCCTTCCTCTCTCTCTAAAAATCAATAAAGAAAAAAAATACTATCAAACACTATACAAAATCAATATATGTTTTAAAAAATGTTTTATTCTTCAACTCCAGTTGACATACAATATTACATTAGTTTCAGGTATACAACATAGTAATTATACATATATATAAATTATGAAGTGATCACCTCAAAACAATATTTTTTTAACAAACTTAAACCACACACACTTTAAAAAATATCTAAATACTAATTCTTTTCTAAATGATAAAATACATTTTTAACTTAAATATACTACCACTAGTGCTCTTCTTTGAAAGAGGTGATAAAATAGTTTTCAGAATAAGTAATAGGATATTTAACCATTAATGTATAGATCACCGATTCTAATTTAGTCAGAGTTTTTGGCAACCAGACATATTTAAAATTAAAATTTAGTTGCAGATAGTAATTGCTCATGGCTACATGTTCCCATTTCAATACAACTTAATTTCTTTCTTTCATTTGAAATCTCAGTAAATACAAAAACCTGAATTTAAATTAAACAATCACTTTCTTCTCAGTCCTGAGTAGCCAAGTAGGATGCAGAATGAGAAGGAAACAATCTACTAGCTAATAATGATGAAGACATGTAAAATAATCTTCTAATTAAATAAAAACTCTAGGTGAGGAGAAACAGTAGTTGAAATAGCCCTGGTCCCTCTTCAAAGTTTTACCTTCCCTTTATATTCTCAATCCAATTATTCATTCAGCATTTTATCAGACGATATAAAATGCACACCGGACACAGGAATACAATGATGAACTGGATGGACAAGGCTCTACCCTCATGTACTTTTCTGTGGGGGTAGAAAAAAGCAATTAAGCGATTACAATGCTGTGGTAATTATTAGAGAAGGAAGGTAATTATTAGATAGGTACCTAGCAAGGTACCTATCCCAGTATGTTGGTGGAAAGGGACATGGAGCTTGGGGACATGGGAGGGAGCGTAGCAAACATTTTTTTCTTATGGTGTCACATCAGGCATAAAGAACTGCCTGTTTAAAGGCCTGAAGGTAAGGGGGCTCAAGATACATTTAGAAACAGAAGTTCAGCCTGGTTGTAGCATAAGGAAGGAATGATGAGAGACCAGGGAGTCCACAGCACCTTTAAGTTGCAATCCAAGAATGGGCACAATTTCTTTTGGTGGGTTCCCTTTAACAGGGCAGGTATAGGGAAGAATTAAAAACTAAATATATATATATATATTTAGGTGCTGACCTTTTGCATCTTGTCTGAGAACACTTCTTTATACTCCAGGCCCAGAAAACTAATGGAGTATTGGCAAGGCGTATATGCGTAGTGGCAAGAAATCTGAGGTTATGAAAGCCTGTTTGGAATCCCAGCTTGAAAACAGTAATACCAACCTCACTCAGATTGTTTAGATTAAATGAAATAATTTATGTAAAGCATCTTGCACACAATCGACACTCAAAAAAGTCTCTTTTCTCTTATTATCTTGCTTCTAAGCCCACAGCTGGCCTCATAGCTGAAGGTAACATGTCACCATAGACTATATGTGACCCCATAACCTGGCAGAAGACAGTGCTCTCCTGGCCATCTCCTATGTCTCTACAATTCAGTTCTGGTCTCTACCCTCTTCTTCTGTGAACCCTTTGTTAGAGAAACCAAAAGTATTCCAGCATAACAATCTCTATTATAGGACAACTGTAGCATTCATGAAGAAAAAAAAAATTATACAACTGAGACTTGCTCATCACATTATCTGTACTTTACATTTTTATATGTATTTGACCTCCATTATCCCTTTTGGCAATACTGTGAGGTGAATATTATAATCACTATTTAGCAGATATGAGTCCTGGGTTCAGAGAGGTTAAGGGACTAACCCTGACCAAAGTTGTGAATGTAGCTCATTTTCTAAACAAAGTTGTATTAATCCTACGGTGGGTGCCTCCCAGGAATGTTGCAATGGGTATATATTTTATTATACTTATTGCTTCTTTTAAACATTAAGACTCGGAGAAACATGGGCTTTTACAACTATATATCCATTCCTCAATGTCTAAGTTTGTGTCCTTTCACACATATTTTAAATTATGTGTAAAACTGAAGGGTGTGGCAGAATTTTCCCAAAATACTTCCTTTTCTGCTCAAGAACCATTCCAATCACTTTAGTGATAAGTATCACTTTCGCTTTTCATACCTGCCCAACCATTCTCACAATAGTAAAACTAAAGCTTCCTATTTTCTAGTAGTAAAAACCTGTCTCCGCTGACTGTGAAAAAGAGAGCACAAATGAAAGGTTTCATTACTTCGGGTGGACTTCAGCTGCTAATTTCAAATGGAGTTATTCCCTCATAAGATCTCTTGAAGGTCACCTCTTTGAAGCCTAGTCTATGTTTAAGGAACTGTCGGCTTTACAATGGAGTCCTCCTCATTTCTGCCTTCTAATATAATCTTCCCCTAAGCACTCCTTCCTTTCAGTGTTTCTCCAAAGGTGGTACCCAGATGACCCCAGTCAGATCCACTAGGGTACTTATTAGCAGGTGATTCCTGGGTTCCAAAATTGACTTGAGTCATCACCCAGGAGTGGGGCATTAGTTTTTCACATTACCCAGTAAGTTCAACACATGATCAGTCAAATATTCCAGATGTTTGTTTTTTGTTTTTTGTTTTAAAAAAAGATCTTCATCGCCCTGGCCAGTTTGGCTCAGCGGTTAGAGTGCTGGCCTGCGGTCCAGAGAGAACGGGGTTCGGTTCCCGCTAAGGGCGCGTACCTACCTCAGTTGCAGTTTGTCCCTGGCCCTGGTTGGTCGTGCAGGTGGCAGCCACTCGATGTGTCCCTTTCATGTCAATGTTTCTCTCTTTCTCTCTCTTCCTCTCTCTCCCTCCCACTCTATCTGAACAAAAAAATGGAAAAAATGTCCTCGGGTGAGTATAAAAAAAAAAAAAGATCTTCATCAAAGTCTCCCTTATCTTACACTAAAAGCAACTGGTTTTTAACAAGTGGCTGATAAAAATGCTGAGTTAGACAATGATTTGTATTAGACTCCCGATACCCCTACTCCAGGGGCTCTATATGTTGAGCTTTTATGAAATACTATGTACAGTTATTCAGCCAACCGTGATTATATCCAATTATATTGTCATCCATTCTACATTTCTCCATGTTGTTCACGAGGATAGCTCAAGTATTTTGTGGAAATTCTTAAATTATTGCATTCACAGAATTCCCCAAGATACAAGGTAGTATAACCCAAACAATGAAACGGGTGAAGTTAGTTTGGTACTATTCTTCATTTATCTTGATTCAAGTTCTTTATTTTATTCAAAAAAGTTAAATAACCAGGGTTTACTTGTTTTAAAGTACTTGCAAATATGAGATAATATTAGGAAAAAGGATCAACTTTCACTATTCTAAAACTTAGAATATTAAACACTCTGTTCAACTTAAATCAGGCAGCTTAGTAACCTAATAACATAATGTTACGCTAATAATGTAATTACATACACTTCGTCATACAGTAAAGTGACTGACATCTTTACTGGGAGATATGTGCACAAAAATGATTTCTTCCGGGTGCTGGCATTTGGCTAAACATTTGTCAATATCCTTTCCTGTGCAATTGATGTCTCAGGCTGAAAAGGCGTTTGAAACACAGAAATCAAGGGACCTTGGCAAAAATCTGATCCTAAGAACTGAAACTTACCAGCCCATGAACAAGGTTGATATTGTTTATTGCCATAAGACTAGCTTTCTTGTAATTAGCTCAGAAGAAAGCTCAGGAGATACTGGCTTTCCAAGTGAGCTTCTCCAGTTCAGTAATATTCGCACGTCCCACCTGGGCCTTTTGGTTGCAAATCTACCTCCTTAAGGAGCCAAGTGAAAAAGCAAGAACAATCAATAAGAAAAAAAAAAAAACCACGAAAAAAAAATTCCTCCCAGCTATAAATCAGCCACGTGGAGCTGCTGCAGCAGCAGCGATAGCCCCGACTTCCTGGTTTGCTTCCTGCAAGCCCAGAGGCGGGGGGCTCTGGCAGCGGGTGTAAGAGAGGGAGGGGCAGCCAGAGCAGCTCTAGGACAGCGGGAGGGGGCGGCAGGGAGGCGGGGGATCCTGCAGGGCACGGGCATTAAGGACAGAGTTGTGGTTCACAATTACAATAAAAGTTTGGGAATCTGAAAGCTTTAAGAGCTGAGCTGTGGGGCAAAGGCTAAAGCTAAGGACCAGACCTGGGGAAAGAATAAGTTAGTTACAAGGTAACGGGGGATAGCGAAAGAGATTCGTGTGGACAGTGGGAGAGAGAAGGGGACTGCGGATCTGGAAGGGGGCAGGTAGACAGTAAGGAAGCTTAGAAGAGCGAGACGCACGGGTCGGTTGGAGCTCTGCGGAGGCCGCCGGAGGAGGGGGAGTACCGCGGCCGCGGAGCGCGGTCCGAGCCGCGGGGCCGCGGGGAGGGGGTGGAGGGAAGGGCCGGGGGGAAGGTACAGCGGAGGGGAGTTCCGGATCTGGAGCTGGAAAGGGCAGGCAGCGGAGAGGGCGGCAGCCGAAGCGGCAGGGGTGGGGGAGGGAGGAGGAGAGCCGGAGGAGGGGGAAGGAGGGAGGGGAGAGCAGTGGCGGCGGCTGCGCCCGGCTGTGTGTCTCTAGCCGCCGGAGGAAGATGAGGCTGAAGATTGGGTTCATCTTACGCAGTTTGCTGGTGGTGGGAAGCTTCCTGGGGCTAGTGGTCCTCTGGTCTTCCCTGTCCCCGAGGCTGGACGACCCAAGCCCGCTGAGAAGCACGAGGGTGAGTGACCCGCCCGCCCCCTCCGGTGGCGACGACCTGCAACTTGTTTTGTTTGCGCGCGAGAGTGGCGGGAGCCGGGAGCGGCGGGGTTGGACGCGGCGTTGGCGCCGCAGCTCCGCAGGTGGTGCTGGCGCAGCGCGGGCGGATCGGGGGCGCTGAGCCCCACGCACTCTGTCCCCGCTGCCCGCCGCCGGCCCGCCCCTTCGCCGCCCCTTCCTCCCGCGCTTCCCCGCCCCGGGCTCCGCCGCCGCTATTCGCGCTGTGGCTGCGGCTGCGGCTGCGGCGACCGCGCTCCTCGCCGGGACTGCTGGGTGGGGCGGGAGGAGAGCAGTGTCCCTGGGAGCGGGGTGAGGGGCGCGGCCGCCCAGCCCCCGACTCCTCCGGGCTGGGACCGCTGCGGTCGTGGCCGGGGGGCACGGGGTTGGTCCAGGCTGCGGCCTGTGGCTCAGGCAGGCCTGGAGGAGGAGAGATGCTGCCGTTGCCATCACCACCGGTCGGGACCAGGCCCCTCGGTCCCACCTTCCCTCCCGCCACCGCCCGTCCGGGGGTGCCAGCAGCCGGGTCTCCCACAGCCGGCCTGTCCGCCGGGGAGTGGGAGGGAGATGGCGCCCCGCCTCCGGCTCTTACGGACAGCGCCTGCTCCCCCCTCCACTCCGGCGGCCGGGAGATGGGGTGCGATGTGCGGGCGAGGCCTCGCCCTGGACCGGCCCTTCCTCTGGCTTCCTTGGCAACAGGAGGGGCCGTTGGTCCGGTGGGGGAGAGGGGCAAGGGGTGTTCCTGTCCCGCTCTCCGGCCGGGTCCCCACCGCTCTGGGGAATCCCCGTCTCCCGGAGCGACGTTGCTGTCCGGGGAACGTGGAGCCGGTCCCTCTTCCCTGGCTGCGGCAGGGCTGCTCGGCCAGAAAACTAACTTGTGCCGAAGCCCCGCCGTTCGGCGCGGCTGCCTGCTCGCCCAGCCCAGTCCAACGCTGATGGGCGCCGAGCTCCCGAGGCTCCGCCGGGAAGCGTTTGTCTGCCGCCCGGGCAGCGAGCATTAGCCTTGACACTCCCTTGCTTAGTTTAAAGGGTTTAGTCAGGCCCCTCGGAACAGGAGGGCCCGTGGTTATTGCGACTTCGCGGTGACGGTGACTAGGTCACAGCAGGTTGGAGGGTTAACCGGCCTCGCCCTCCAGCCTGACCCGCTCCCCACCCCCTAGAAGAACCAATACACTCCTCTCCTTCCCAGTCCCGGACCCTGGGGTAGTCCCCTGGGCCAGCTGCCCTTGGGGTGAGGGAGGGCATGAGAAGTTCAGAGCCACCAAGTGGCCAGGGGCCATTGGAAGAGTTGGTACTATTGTGAAGTATGAAGTGCCTTTTGCAAGTATTTTCTGCATTGCATCTGTGTGATCTTTATTAGCTTTCCTTCTGGAAAGTTAGTATCAGGGAGTGGAGTGAGAAGGATTTCTTTCTTGAATAAAAATCCTAGAAGGGGATTTCCTTATCGATTGCACCCTCTGTGATAATTGGATTTACTACTAAGTTTTTGTATCTGAAGTCTTGACTGCACCTGGAATCTCTGTGAAATCTGGGGTGGATCCCCATCCACATCATCTAAATTCAAGTTAGTTAAAAAGTGCCAACTCTTGCTTCTGTGGTTTTAAGCCTCTCAGCTCTGGTGAAGTGGTGGTGACCTTTTTGTGATTTTACTTTAAAAATGATTCATTGACAAAAAATAATTGAATATTACAACTGGTTGAGAGTATTTGTTTGAAGTCAAGTGGCCTCTTACAGAGAGCTGGAAATGTTAAAACCCGTTTCCTGGGAGAGAAATTGAGAAGAACTGACAAAACTAGCCATGTCCAGGGTGCCCTGCAGTTCATATGGCAGGTCTTCTGAAGCAATGGCAGAGCATCAGCACCATCACCCAACCCTGACACATTTTATTTGTGCTGATATGTAAATACCGAGCCACCACGCCCATTTAATAGCTACAGGAGGTGGTGATATCTTCATTTTTGGTTCAAGTTACAGTCATGTACTACCTAATGACATTTCAGTCAAACAGGGACTGCATATACAACGGGTCCCATAAAATTATAATGGAGCTGAAAATTTTCTATCACCCAGTGACATGGTAGCCATGGTAATGTCACAGTACATCGCATTACTCCTGTGTTTGTGATGCTGGCGTAAACAAACCCGTGCTGCCAGTTGTATAAAAGTATAGCACATCCAGTACGGTACATAATACTTGATAATAAATGACTATGGTACTGGTTTAAGTATTTAGTACACTATACTTTTTATCATTATATTAGAGCATACCCTTTCTACTTATTAAAAAAGTTTGCTCTAAAACAATATGTGGTGTGACCCTGGCAGCATCCTTATACATCTCCTGTTTACCTTGTCTGTTGATGGCACCATTTTCTCTCGGGCATGATTTAATCTCGTGTTGTTTTGTACAGTAATGTGCTGCACAGGTCTGTAGCCTAGGAGCAGCAGGTTATAACACATAGCCCAGGTGTGTAGTAGGCTAGGCCATCTAGGTTTGTGTAAGCACACTCTGTGACATTTGCACAATGACGAAATCACGTAAGGACGCATTTCTCAGAAAGTGTCCTCCTCATTCATCGTTAAGCGACGCATGGGTGTATTTGATATCATTTGTCAGTGGATCCAATGTAATTTCATTTGCCAAGACAGAAGCTAGCTTTAAGACTTTCAAACATAATTAACATTGAAAAGAAGGCTGATGGATCAGAAGAGCCAAGCCCTTTTATTAACTTCGCAGGCAAACAGTAACTAAGGTGTAGAATATAGATTATAAGTTGTAAGATCAGAAATAAAAGAACTATTGCCATTAATGTAAACTAAATTAAGAGTTTCTGAGATAAAGCACTAGAAAAATATCTTCTTTATGGAAGATTCTGACCAGTATTCAGTTTCCCTTAACCTCTGGTTATTTTACTTTGACTATGATTGCAGACTCCTCCACCTGCTGTGAGACACCTGCCTCTCTTTTAATGCTGATCCACATATGGACTTTTTTGGATTCCTATAAATGGCCTGAGATAGGCAGAAAAACCCAGTTTTTCAAATACAGGTTCTGCCTCTATTTCAGCCAACTAGTACTGCCCTGTGCCACTGTCCTTGTACTTTCGGTGTTCTAGGTACTAAAGTCTGTTGTAACCTGGTCCTTTTTTTTTACCTGGACTACTTCCTTGCTTTAGATCAACCTAGGTACTATTGCAAAACGCGTTATCCATGGTCAAGACAAGAAAAACATTTATCTTCTTTCTATCTCTGGGCCTCTTGTCATTTCTCTAACGTGAATGGTGTGAAAAATGATTTTACTGTTCAAATTATACTCTGTTGTATACGATTTTATAGTCAACAAACATTTTTGAGTGCCTACTATCTATCAGTGCTAGTTGAGGAAACATTCCTTGCCCTAACCTTAAGGATCTTGCAGTTTAGTGAAAAAGACACATTAATTAAGACTCCACATATCAATCAATAAAAACTGTGCTACACACTGTGAAGAAAAACCATCGTGGGCAGGTGTAAGAAAATGGAGGAGCTTGGTCATAAAAGGCTTACCTGAAAATATGAGTTTTGAGTTGAAATCTGAAGATTTGAAAAAGTAGGGGGGCCCTCCTGAGGGAGAAGGTCCTGAGGTAGGAGGCAGCATGGTTAACTGAGGCACTGGAAGAAGGTCAATGTGGTTAGAACTGGAGAGCCAGGGGAGAGGGAGAGTGAGGATGCAAAGGTAAGTGTGGGTCTCATACACCCTGCTAAGGATTAGGTCTTTAGAACAGTGGGGAAGCCATTAAAGGATTTTTAAGTAGCAGAGAGATGCTATCAGCCTTGTTTTGAAAAGATCACCTTGGCTTCCTGCAGAAAGTATGAATTGGTTTGGAGCAAGAGCAGAAAATAGGAGTCCTGTTGGAGATTATGATAGTTCAGGTGGGACATGTTGTTGCTCGGATTGGCAGGGTGGCGGTGGAAGTGGGGAAAAGTAAATTGATTCGAGATCTATTAAAGATGCAGAGGCACCAGCACTAGGTGACCGGGTGAGGGAGTGAAGGAGAAGATGTCAGGAGGTTTAGGATGATAGATTATTTGTTACATTACTGAAAGTTCTGAAGACAAATTTCGTACATTCTTATGTCGTATTTTATGGTTATAGGAAAGCTTATTTTTTTAGGCTTTCTCCTCTGAATATTTTAAGGTCAGCATTTATTAAGGCCATCTGTTTAGCACTTGCAAAGTACAAAAAGTTCCTTTCATTAAATAAATTGTATTTCTCAGACCATGTATTCCAGATTTATCCCTGAATGAGGGTTTTAAGTTGAATCATAAGGTCTGAAAATAAAGGTTTTTTTTGTTTGTTTGTTTGTTTTTTAATTGTTTTTCTTTCTTAATTTGAAAAAGACAAGAAGGGAGAAGGCGAGAGAGAGAGAGAGGGAGAGAAATATCGATGAGATCGACCACCTCCTGCATACCCTGCTTTGGGGATTTGGCCCACAATCTGGGCATGTGCCCTGACCAGGAATTGAACCAGCGACCTCTTAGTGCACAGCTCAAGGCCCAACCACTGAGCCATACCGGCTGGGCTAAAGGTTTGTAATGGAAATGTTGAAAGATCTTTAGTGGTTCTATTATAGCGAATTCAGTACTGGTGAGAAACTGCATGTAAGCTGATGATTTTCTGTGCAGTTGATACTTTGGTCAAACCATTACTGCTAGGAGCCATTCCCAGGCTAAGACTAGTTGAAAGGAATATCACTTAAACAAGGACTTGATTACCCTGTCATAGTCAAATTTCACCTTACCAAAGCCATTTTAACTCAGTGATGATTGGTTGCCACCTAAGACTCTGCCCTTGACCATGAGATTTTATTTCAAATGGAAGTGCTATTTATACTATTAGGGAGAGAGTTACCACCTAGCAAAAGAGTGTAGTGTCTGAGGTCCTAAGTGGTTACTTTTGCCTCAATTCCCCAGGCAAAATGCCTG